AACGTACGAATGTGAAAGCAACCTCGAAGCTAACCCAAGATGTCCATAATGAAGCGAAGGAACCATCAAATACGAATAATCGTACGGATTTAGACGATATTTGTCTGGAGAACATCAGGCTAATACTGTGGGATGATCATTCGTACCAAAAAGGAAACAGCAGAACTTCTCAGCCTACGTGTCAGTCAATTAACGCTGATAAAGCGAGGATTTCTGATCTTGTGAATATCTGCACAAATGCGTTGCGGTACGAAGATGATGAAAGTATGCAAAAAGAAGAAATACTAAGCAAAATCAAAGGAGATATGGAAGACTCGTTGTTATTTTGTTTGTACCTTGATGGACCGATCCATGCAATTTATGATATTTGCGGAAACATTCAAAATGAAATAAATGAGCATTGCAAATGCTGTGTTTCACATACAAATAGCACAGAAGTCGATCACAAAACGAACGAATTGTTCTTCGTGTCCTTATGCCATGCTATGAAGTTATTTGATGAACTGGTAAATGCACTATGTGATAAATTTGTGCATGGATTGATAATTAATTTGAGTAATTTATCAAAGCAATACAATGATGAGCCTAGGAAACAAAGAAACTACATAAATGATGTAATCTTTGATATATTGAATTTCCATCGCAAGTTTTGTCGGTACTTGAGGAAAAATTCTTATGGAGTGCTAAAAAGATCACGAGCTATTTTGATCACATCCGAAGCGGATAAGCAAGATCATTTAAATTCGACCAATGTAGCTCAGGATCCTGCACATGATAACGCTATTAATTTTGAAAAACCTGGTTCATCATCTGACACAGCTGAAAGCGATAAGGTATCAAAACTTTTGGATCAGCTTAAGAAGAGTTTAATACGCACCAAACGTGTGATGGACAAAGAAGATGATGGTTTAACCAATAAATTAGTGTCGGAACTCGATTGTGTGGTGTCTTGGATTGAAGAATCACTAAAATGTGGTTTCCATAATATGACAGATCTTACTCGATAGACGCGAATTAACTAAAAGGTTTTTATGAAAAATGGTTCATGATTTCACGATGGTATTTTTGGTAGATTTTTTCATTGCTCCTTTGTTCTAATTTTTAGTGTCTGAGAAGTAATGGAAAGGTTCTTAGCAGAGGATAGTACCATTTTTTGCTGGCATTAGCTTGTCACACTTACATATGCATCGCATTTTGCTAAAACAGTTCTTTTGAATTTTAATTTACTACATTTGATGATTTATTGCAATGTTGGCTCTGCCAAACACAACTTGTAATACAAACACAGGTAAAAATTCCTCTAATGACAATAGCGCGATGCTGAAACTACAAGACCTTTCTGGATAATATGCACAGTTCTGCCGTAACTTACTGAGCGATCAGTGTCTGTTCC